CGCAATCTCGAAGCCCAATTAGCTGACAGACTGTCTCCTCAACCCTGGCGAATATGAGTGCTTGGTAAGAGAGAATGTCGAATGAGAAAGACATTCGATTACGGCAACATTCGCAACTACCAAAGTGCACTAAACCTAGTAGAGATCTTCGACCTAACGATAATGGTACTTCAAGCCCATTTAATCAATCCTCTTTGTACCTTATTGTTGACTGAATCGAATGCACGCCAGGCCTAAATTCTCTCTCAGTTACCCAGAGATGAAAGGAAGATCAGATCTGAAGTTCACGAATCGAAGAGAAAGTGGATCTGAGTTTTACACGCTTTCATTTTCAAAAGCTCTGCTTGCCTACGGTACTTTATTAAGGATGTGCAACAATATGGTCATCTCTCAGCCGTGTATAGAGAATTCCTTGATCATTTCCTTGGCGGATAAAACAAATGAAATCGATTCCCTGACTGCCCATCTTATGAGTCCATTCTTGTCTTGTTGGTTTGTTGTACTATTCTATACCTCTCTTGATTGATTGAAAGACGTTCGGGAGCTGGGAGGGCCTATCGTGAGGGAACTTTCCTTTTCACGGTAGGGAAAGGTAAAGTGGGAGCTGCGTATGTCCACAATGATCAAGGTAGAGCGACTCCTTCTTTAAAAGAGGTTGGTTTTATTGAAACTGTTAAATCCGCTTTCGTTAAAGAAAAAATAGGAGCCCGTGGTTTGGCTGATGTCGATTCGTATGGCAATGCGGACTCGACTCAAGATGAGAATTCCACTTTTCATACTCCTGCTACGAGCTGAAAGAGCTGGTAAGTTATCTCGCTAAACGAAAAGAAAAAACACATACGGGTTGACCTCTTTACAAGGTGCGGGGGCTAGCCAAAGAAGGTCAGTCGAACTAGGTTAGAACCCTTGATCCGGTTCAACTAGGTTTTCCATGCGAGAATGTATGCGTATCGATATCCTCTTTTTGTTTATACGTTTGGAGAAACCTGCTAAGCCCGCCTTTCTTACCAAGTGTGATTCAATCATTCAGCTCAAACTTTCCTCTCGTCCGACGGAAAAGGTTGGATTACGACTACCTTTTCCTTTTCTTGCCGGAGCCAAGGGATCAATCAGTTTCTACCAAAAAGTTCGCTATCTATTAGTTGTAGTAATCGAATGTATTTCTCATTTCATGTTTGCTCCTCCAAGAGCTTCCAGGTCCGTAGTAGACGAAACCTTGGACTTCTATTGAACTTATAGTATTGCCTGTTGAGCTCGTCGTTGAGGGTTGGCCTTACAAGAGATCGAGCAGCCTTTCTTTCCTTGCCTGGTATGCTTTCCCGCTTATCGCGTAGCTAGCAAACTAGTCAAAGAGAGAGCGAGGGGGATCATGTCAATCAATTTGTATGTGCATTTTGTCCGTCCTGTACTTGCCTGCTTAGTTTTCTTAGCCAACATCTCCGGTTTCCCCCGAACCAAGAGGTTCACTTATCCATACTCAACAGTCACACTTTTAGCAGAAAGACTGATTTTTTTCATAAAGTCGGTGCATAGATCAAGAAAGAATGAAGCTGCTTACAGGGACGGTTATGCGATACGTCTTTTTATACTCACATTTTCTTTAACCTTGCTATGAACCTAGTCATTCTCGTTTGTTGCTTTAAGGGGTCTCCCCACTATAGATTACTCGGATTGGTTCTCACGTCCCTATGCCAAAAAGTATGGGCGAGTTTGGTTTGAGTGTTCATCCATTGGGTGGATCCATATGCTCCAGGGGGGTGAGACGAGGTGTAGCGCATCTGTTTTGGGTATGTTGTTTGCTAAAGGTTTTAGGAAAGGAGTACAAATTTTCTACATAGGTCATCTGTGGTCACAATCCTTCCGTGGCCCAACCCTTATTCGCAGTCCGCATCCAACCATTTCTTTTTCAATCTACATGTATGCTCCAAGCCAAACTCACGTAACTAGTCAGAAGCACGTAACTAGTCAGAAGATGCAGCCCACAACTGAACGGAAGACAAGTGTCACAATCGCACTCTTGCAGTAGTGAGACACTTATTATGTGACATTTGTTCTAATCCAATGAACAAGTCAACCATGCAAAATTTAGACTGAAGGAACAATAACGGTGTATGCTCGAATCACGTTTAGAAGAAATATTTTAGAAAACGTGAGCGAGGAAATACGTTAAAAACAATTTCAAATAGAGTAATGTTATAAGCTAAAAGTGAACAAACAACAACTGGTCACGTTCTCCCATAGTACATTTTGGGACATTTTAGTAATGATGGGTGTAGATATGATTTTGATGACTAATCATACACCCCGTATTGGCACAACAATAATAGTAAAAGCCTATCTAAGATGAATGCAAGTAAAAGGGGTTTGGAATGAGCATGCCACCATGAACCACAAATCGTTTACAAGAATAGCTGAGTCGTCTAACATGCAGCCACAGGCAACATGCCTTGGCCAATCATGACCGCGACATCTGCCCTTACACAATTTGTCAATATCTCTATCAACCGGCTCTTCATAAACTCAACGTTGTAGGATGAGGCTGACTCTAGGTCTCGCGATGCGCTTCTAGCTGATCTCATTATTGAGAAATCTTTTCCAACCTACTAGAAGCTGTTGAAAATCACTTCTCGGTTTGTTAACTCTTCAACTCTTCTCTATTGGTGTCTTTCCTACTTTCTTTGCTTGAAACATTTTCTTCTTTGCATGACGTGATACCACTTGCTTCTACTTGATGTTTTCTTGGTCGGAATAATAACGTTTCAAGTTACTGACGTGGACAACAGGGTTAGTATGTATCCATAGGAGCAATTGGATTTTATATGATGTCTTTCTAATCTTGTGTATAACTTCGACTAGTCCATAGAATTTTCGCACCAGTCTTTGGTTCTTGTTGCTTTGAACTTAATGTTTATCTGACCTTAACTTATTATAATTCTCTATTTGCTTTGAAATTATTGTGGTCGACCCTTCTCTTCATTCGTATGGTTGGTATTTTTGCGTGAACATGTGTTGCTTTAGTGGTTTGTTTTTGTCTCCCTTCTTTAGTAGAGGTGTTGGCTTGGTGTCTTTGCCAAGCATTTGAGTGATCACTGACAAGAGCTTTTAGAGGTCAAATAAACCCGACTGTGAACATGCCATTTTGCTATTTGTAGAATTAAACTAGCTCAGGCTGAGCCGCATGACATCTGTTTGTGGCAGGCGACATAAAACTAGTCTTGTGATTTATCTCTCTTGGTGGAGTTAAACCCAATATTTGACCTTCTTGTTTTGGGTCGTGGTATTCATGTAGTGGAAATAAAGTTTTTGTTGAGGTTCGCACACTTGCACTTCCCCTTTTCAAATACAACAATGGCAACAAGTGTAGATTCATCATGGCTAAGATTCTTTCTCAACTGTACTATCATCATCATTTTCACCCCTCTTGGTTGATGGATGTTTGTCTGAATGATCATTGGGTTAGACTCCATTACTACTAGGCATTTTCTAGGGGCATGTAAATGACTTTGTGTTCTAGCAGAATGTCAATCCCTGACTATTTGGGCTCTAGAATGTTGGATATGAAGGCTAACTATATAGTAGGCGTTTACATATAGTGAAGCTATATATAATAAACTGAAATCATATATATACCCATTAGTCAATTTTTCGGTGCTTCCTAAATGTACATTTCTCATTCTCCATATCCTCTATTTGCAACCCTGAAGTCATTAATACAAAACCATTAGAATATTTCTTCTTACATTTTCTCTATCATGTTTTTTGTGTTCATTTAGATCAACTGTGTGCGATGTTGTGTGATCCTAATAACTAGTATTAGAGCGAGGAAAGATTCACCACGATCTGTGAAGATGGAAAGTTCAAGAATTGAAAAGTTTGATGGATTTGATATCAATTTCTAGAAGATGCAGATTGAAGATTATCTGTACAAGAAAAATATTCAGAAACCCCTTTTGAGAGTGAAGCCGGATACCATGACCACGGAGGAGTGGAAGCTCAAGAATTGTCATGCTATAGGGTTAATGTGGTTGACGCTGTCCAGAAACATGACGTTCAACATCAAAGAGAAGACGACATCGGGCCTATTGAAGGTGTTGTTAAATATGTACGAAAATATGTCGGCTATGAACAAGGTGTATTTGATGCAGAGGTTGTTCAATCAACAAATGTTGATTTGTTGCAGATCAATTTAAATTAGTTCAACATGATTGTAAGTCAATTGAGTTGGGTGGAAATTATGTTCAAAAATAAGATTAAAGCATTGATTTTGATGTCATCTTTACTCGAGTCGTGGTATACTGTTGTTGCTGCAATCAACAGTTCACGAGGATCTATTAAACTGAAGTTTAGTGAAATTTGAGATGTCAGCGAAAGCCCAAACGGGAAATTGAAGATTCATCAGGCAATGCTCTCATTGTTGATCAAAGGGGAAGAAGTAAATCAAAGAGTCCAAACAAACATGGGAGATCAAAATTAAGAAACTGAGAAAAATCTCCAAACAAACAAAATGTAAATTGTTGAAATTGTGAAGAAAAATAACACTTTCGAACAGATCGTACAAAATTGATGAGAAGAAAAATCACAAATTTGAAGATAACGATAATTCCATATATTCAGCAGAAGATACTGAGAATGCTTAAATCCTTAGCATGAACAGCCCAATTGAATTTTGGATTTTAGATTTAGTTGCATCGTTTCATTCGAATCCAAGTAAGGAATTGTTTCAAAATTTTCAATAAGGAAATGTTAGGAAGGTGTATATTGCCGACAACAAAACGTTGGAGATTGAAGGGAATAAAGATGTCTACATATAAACTCTAACAGGAAATGAGTGTGTGGATATTATAGGATGTCAGATATATTCTTGATCTCAAGAAGAATCTAATCTCTATCTGTCAGTTGGATAGCACAGGTTATGCAGCCGAGTTTGGAAAGAGTTTTGGGAATATTGTGAAGGGTGTCATGGTGGTAGCATGACCTAAAATCGGGAACCCTATACACTAATGTAGAGTGTATAAACATGGTTGCTGTTGCTAAGAGTGCTTCCAATTCAAGTAACAGCAACAACAACCATGTTTATGCACCCTACAGTAGTGTCAATAGACTTGAACATACGAGCATCAAAGAAATGAAGATGATGGGTGCAAATGGAGTTTTAGAAGGCCTAAAATCTATTGATATGGGTGTTTGTGAGAGCTGCGTTATGGAAAAATATAAACGAGTTAGCTTCACAAAAATTGCTAGAGAACCAAAGAAAGTGCGATTGGAAATGGTCCATATAGACGTTTGGGGACCATCTCCAGTTTCTTCATTTCTAGTACCAAAATTTCATGGATTAGATGTCTCGCACTCTGCAACGAAAACTCTCTGTTTTCCTAAGGCTAGTCATATATCTCATGACCACTCTTTTCCTCCTCACCATATCTAGACACTATAACGTTGATCCATTATGGTCTTATATAGTTAACGTTCACTCTTTAATGTCCAAGGACATTTTATAACTACCACGAAAATCAAAACATACAATAAATTCATACAAGTTTTACAACATATCATATACTACAAAATAGGGTTAGACTGCTTACTTGGTCGCGGAGAGACGTGTCATCGAGGTGAGTCATAGAGATATACGACTCTTTATCTTAAGAAAAAATCTATATAATTTAAAATCCGGCTGCTCTGATACCAATCTGTCACAACCCAAATTTCAAGGGTTCAAAACTCAAATAGAAACTAAAATTGAAAGTTAAAACAAATAAAAATAAAAGTAAATTAATATAAAATAATGCTGTAAAATTAAAATAAGATTGAAAAAACAACACCACATTAAATATAAAATTAAATTAAATTATAAGACGGTGTTGTTCAAATTTATCCAAACAAAAAAAAAAGTGTTTGGGATAGAATTACAAAAAAAAAAAAAAAAAAAAAAAAACTCAAACACAAAGACAGACTAACGCTGCATAACAACCCCATCTGTGAGTGCACAATCTTTGAAGGCTCCCTCATACGAACCCATCCAAAATAATCACACCTGTGACCGCATCTCCTGACTTTAAACTGCTAGTCTAAACATGGTTTTGTCACCAAAGCTTTAGAGTTTAATCTATCTTTACAAAAATATTTTTCTCTTAATTTATAATTAGTCATAAAAAGAAATAATTAGATACAAATTTGGTCTAGAATTCAAAACTTTCAAATCTTACGGTTTCTTAACCAGATTCAAATCCAGATTCTTGAACTCCTAGTACCTTAAATAAAGTTGGTCTCCTCTAATAAAATAGGAATTTCTCTTAAGATCATTAAGACAATTATGCTTTATCTTAAACACGCCAAACATGAAACTAAAGTGCGTTCAATTTAACTCCATTTTATTGCCATCTTGAATGATGTTTAGGGTATATTCTTGATTTACTTTAAAGTTCTTGTGACATGACAGTTCATATTAGTTAAACTTTCTGCAAAATCACAAGTTAAAAAACAACAACGATGAACCTAAGTCTATTAGTCATTTCAAAGACAATTTCTTTCTCCATCTTATCGATAATAATAGTTCAACTAAATCCATATTATGCAAAGAAACAAGTTTACGACTCATAAAAACAACTACCTAAATTATGTCCTAAAAATTTGAAAACATAAGTTGTAGTTGATAATTACACAAAAAATTCCCTAAATTCATGAATTTGTGTCCAATTAATTAATCCTAAAGATTGTAACTAGCATATAGTAATTGAAGCTCCACATGAAGTAATTTAAAGTTCCCCAAATTTTATCTCATCTTTAATAAAGCATGAATTGCACGAAAGTTTATGAAATGCTTATAGACTCCAACTCTGAGTACTATTAATGCAATTATGTTTCATATGAGTTTGTCATAAATGAAACTAAGGTGCATTCAATACAACTTTATTTTCTTGTCATATGAGACAAAATAGAAAAATTAAATCAAACAAACTGATGAACTAAACCGAATCAATCCAATCCAAATTGATTAGTTTGTTTCTTTTGTTGGGTTGTTTGATAACCCTTTTATATTATAACAATTCAACTTTTCATGAGAGAAAAATATATTTAAGTAGAAGTTAAAAATATTGGGTGTTCAAGAAAAGACATTTAGTTTAGTGGTATGATTCTCACTTGTGGTGCAATTTGAGTTCAATTCTTGAAATGCCCTTATGTCTAATTCCTTTTTTATCGAAGGACTTCATATTCGACATCAACCTAACTTCATATTCAACATTTTATACTTACCATCATGCTCTTAATACAATATCCCATCCCAAGGCTTTATTCTCCAAGACACATTCTACCTCTGAGGACTTCACGTGTTTCCTGCAATACGAAAAAATACAAACTTAATACCTAGGCCTAAGGCTTCATACATACGTTTCAAGTGGTATAACAAGGGCATTTGGTCTAGTGGTATGATTCTTGCTCTGGGAGTGAGAGGTCTCGAGTTTGATTCTCAAAATGCCCCTTCAAGAGATTGTAGTATGGGGATGTAGCTCAGATAGTAGAGCGCTCACTTCTAATGTGGATACGACATAATGAGCAGATGCATAGGACTTTGTGACGTAAGAATTGTGGGGATATCTAAACTATTTGTTATTAATATTTTGATATTTTTTTATTTTCACTATTATTGATGATGGGACATTAATAGGGTTTTATGATGTAAGAATCATGGGGATGTATCTCAGATGGTAGAGTGCTCGCTTTGCATGTGAGAGGTATGGGGATCGATACCCTGCGTCTCCAAAAATAAGATTATCTATTATTAAATATATTGTTTCTTTGCAAATTTTTCCTTATTCATGACCTGTTGTGTAGCAATATTTCTTCATTTTCACTATTATTGATGATGAAAAATTTAGAGTTTTGTGATGCAAAAATTGTGGGGATGTAGCTCAAATGGTAGAGCGCTCGCTTAGCATGCGAGAGGTATGGGGATCGATACCCCGCATCTCCAAAAGAAAGAAATGATTTTTTTCAGTATGAGTTAATTTAACATGTTATGTATAAGGTGGGTAAGAGAGAAAAAGAAAAGATACTTATATAAGGAGGACTTCTTCACTTCATTTATAGTTTCTATCACAATAATATAAAATTTGGGAACAAAGCCTATATGAGACTGAAAAGACCGTTCAATGGTATTTTAGATTAAAAAAACTTTTATGAGCTTTGTACCTTTGTTAGTGTTACTTTGTACCTTTGTTTGTATTACTTTGTACCTTTGTTTGTATTACAGTTGAAGAGTGAGAAGCAAGATTTGAAACCTTTTTCTAAATTGAGTCACTCCATAATCAAACTTGATCAAGGCTTGATTAAATATCTCAGATGCAATCTACCACAGGAATTGCATGAAACTTAAAAACGACAAAGATATGCTCAGATTTCTATAAGAGGGAACTCTCAACTTGAGAGATCAATTTCATTGATCACAAATATGCTTTTACATAATAATTTGTGGGTATTTATAGTCTCCCCACAAAAAAAGTTAGTGCCCGTGATTTAATCTCGATCCCTTTAAATCTCCACAGAAGACGAAGTCAATTTGAGCATTACAAACTTTATGAAATTAAAATAATAAATAAAGTTTTCTAACCACTATGAAATGATGCTTGCAACTTCATCCGCTACTTCAACTATGCAAATATTTACTTTTGAATCTCCAAATGGTATTGACTCAAACGAATCAGCTAGTAACACATGAAATGATGGTTGAACCTAGCCTATCCAATTTTGTAGATGAAGCATGAATGCTTGTTGAATCTTCTTGGCCCTAGGTTGTGTAAAATGTCTACTTGGAACACCGTGATTTTTATCATCATCCCCCTCTTCAAAAGGATTCGTCCCCGAATCAAAAAAATCATCACCTACATCAAAAGAACTCAACTCAGTAACATTGAAAGTAGAATGTACACCGTGATTCTTATCATCATCCCCTCTTCAGGATTCGTCATCGAATCAGAAAAATCATCACCTTCAAAGGGACTCAACTTAGCAACATTGAAAGTAGAATGTATTAACAATTCTAAGGGAAGATCAATTTTATTGTTCCATGCAATAAGAACAATAAAATGAGTCATTTTACTAAATGTCTTACAGAACATTTATAGTCAAATAAAGAATTAGGAATCCACCACGCTATCTTTAGATCTACAGACATACTATCTATGCTTAAAATTAAAATAAATGAACGTGGAGAACACGTTTCCTCTTCACTATGACGCTCTCCACACTAATATTAAAATTGAAAATTCATAATGCAAAGGTGTTTCCACTAATTTTAGTTTGAACGTGGATCAAACACGTGACTTTCAGATCTTTAGTCTAACGCTCTCCCAATTGAGCTATCCCTGCAATCATTAGAGTTAAGTTTTTAAAAAGAAACATAAATAATCACTAATTTTATAGTCAAATTATGCAACGTGAACCAAGTGTGGTTAAAGTGGATCAAACACGTGACCTTCAGATATTCAATCTGACGCTCTCTCTGAGCTATCCCCGCAATCACTAGAAATGAAAATTGATCAGGAATAATGACTAATTTTTTTATTGAATAGTCAGGTTTTGCGAAACAGGTGTGGTGAACATGGAGATCGAACACGTGACCTTCAAATCTTAAATTTGACGCTCTACAAACTGAGCTATCCCCGCTAACATTAAAAATGAAAGTTTTTTAAGTAAAGATATTTCCGCTAATTAATTGAAATTTTAGAAAGAAATAATCACTAATTTTAAATTGAAGAGTCAAATCCCGCTAACATTAAAAATGAAAGTTTTTTAAGTAAAGATATTTCTGCTAATTAATTGAAATTTTAGAAAGAAATAATCACTAATTTTAAATTGAAGAGTCAAATTATGCAAGATCGAATATGAGACCTTTAGATCTTCAATCTAACGCTCTCTCAACTGAGCTATCCACACTAACATTAAAAATGAAAATTCATCCTAAAGGTAATTTCGCTAATTCATTTTAATTTTAAATAGAAATAATCACTTATTTTTAATAAGATATTCAAGTTATCCAACTTGTATAAGGTGTGGTGAACTAGAACACGTTAGGTATTTCCGATAATTCATTGAGATTTCAGAAAGGAATAATGACTAATTTTAGATTGAATAGTCGGGTTATGCAACTAGAATCAGGTGTGGTGAACGTGTTGATCAAACACGTGACCTTCAAATCTTCAATCTGACGTTCTCCCAATAGAGCTATCCCTGCTAATATTAAAAATGAAAATTCATAAGTAAAGGTACTTCCACTAATTCATTATATTTAAAAAAGAAATAATCAATAATTTTAGATTGAATAAGCAAGTTATGTTTTTAGATTGTATGGTCAGGTAATAAACTTGTATCAGGTGCGTTGAACGTGGATAAAACACGTGTGACCTTCAAATCTTCCGTCTAACAATCTCCCAACTGAGCTACTCTTGCTAACATTAAAAATGAATATTCATCAGTAAAGGTATTCGGTACGCTTCTGGAAATTCAACAGAAGGCAATAGTATTAGACCGAGATGCCAGATTTAAATCTCGCTTCTGAAAAATTCAACAAAAGGCATTGGGTACACAGTTATAGTACGACATTCCACCCATAAACAGATGGTCAAACAGAAATGCTCAAGCAAATATTGGAAGACATGTTGAGGGTATATGTGAATGATTTTGCAAGACAATGAGATAAGTACCTACCCCTTATGAAATTTGCTTATAATAATAGTTGTCAAGCCACCATACAAATGGCCACATACGAGGTTCTCTACGGACGAAGATTTCGATCCCCTATCTTTTAGGAAGAAGGGGGCAAACGACAACTATTGGGCAGTAGCTGGTGCAAATTACCAACGCCGCAGTCTAGAAGATTAAAGCTAGGATACAAACCACACAAAGCCGAGAGAAAAGCTATGTAGACCTAAGGCGCAAGGACATGGAATTGTAGGTAGGGGATCATATATTCCTAAAAGTTCCACATGAGAGGGGTGCACAGGTAGGGTAAAAAGGTAAGCTAAGCCCTAGGTTTATTCGTCCTTTTGAGATATTAGAAAGGATTGGATATGTGGCCTATAGAATCGGGCAATGCCCAAATTTGTCTGTAGTACGTAATATCTTTCATGTATCCATACTACGGAAGTATACCCTAGATCCTTCGCACGTACTAGCTCATGAAACTCTCTTCTTGAGAGATGACCTAACATATAAAGAAGACCCGATTCAAATAATAGACAAGAAATTCAAAAGATTGAGAAACAAGGAAATCGCTCTTGTTAAGGTCCTATGGAAGAATCATAGAGTAGAAGAAGCCACTTGGGAAACAGAAGGCAAATAAGAACCTTGTACCCTGATCTATTTTAGAATAAGCACTTTCAATGACCGAAAGTTTTCAAAGGAGAGGAGAATTTACAACACTCAAGGTCTCCAATAAGAGACCGTGTATAATCCCTACTAAGTTGTATCTAGAAGCAAAGAACAAGTACAATTGAAAAAACATTGAGAAAATGGTACTTTTTCTAAATTTTATAAACTTCCCGAATCATTCAATTTTTTATAGAACAATAATTACAAGGTGCTTAAAAAAGGATGGCTCCGATCGGAGAAGATTTTTCTGGGAGAAGATTTTTCTGGCACAAGATTAATAAAAATCAATAATGAAATTATAGAAATTCTAGATGTTTCAATGGTAGTGAAAAATCCGTCTATAAATTATGAATTAGGGTAGACTATTAGGGGCAAGAAGCAAGCTTAATCGAGTACCCAATCGAGAGATACAAGTTTTTTGTTTTGGGGTATCGTGTTCATGGGTTTACCTCGAATTCGAGAAATATAGTCCACTATTCATTTCCAAACTTGTTCCTGCACCTTCTAAATAAGTTTACCCATAAGTTTGGTGAAGAAAAGAGGTCCTCAAAGTGCTAGTAGGTTTTCACACAAATCAGTCCATGTTAGGTTACCCTCTAATGTTTTCCTAAGCTAAAACCTCAACTCCTAAAGCCTATCCCAAGACATTATGTATAAACCTAGGTTCATCAATAATCCATGTACCAAGTACCTAGAACTATGTGAATAACATGCTAAAAAATTTGCTAGGATCCATACCCATAAGTAACCATTATCTGCCATTACGATGTGTATTAAAAGGCCCCTATTCCTCTTTAGGTAGGATATCCTACAATATGTATCATGAGCTGGATGTTATGATAGGCCTACCTTTCCCATCAGCTAAACGAGATGTCCTGCACCACGATTTACCAGTAGGCTTACATGATTATGACGACACCACTCATGTGTTCATGGGGAGAAAATTGAAGGTTATTTTAGAGGAAGGTTTTCAAGATCAGTATATGATACATGACACGATGACCTCTTAGCTACAAGATCCTGTAAACATAACAAGAAGTAATATCCTAGCTTAAGGTCGCGATTAAGACCCTATTAGTAGGCTACTTACTAAGTTTTACTCACTCCATGTTTATCATTTTTTTTTTCAAGTAACTAAGAGTTGGTCGTGGATGAGAGCAGACATTGGAGTGTGGCCATGGACTAACCTCTATTTTTAAAATAGTATTTTTTGTTCTTCTTTTGAGTATGCTTCTTATTTTGTGTTTGTAACGATTATGTATATGTAACACCCCAAACATGAAGAAAATTATCTCCCATAAGAATAAGCCACTCATGAAAGACCCAAAGGATAGAAAGGAAAAAAATTAAAGTTTTAAGCAAGACCAAGGGACTTAGTCAATTGAGTACCCTAACAAGTGATTTCAAGGAGTTAAAAGGCCTTTTAAAAAGGATTGGAAATGAAAAAGTAAATGAAAACGGCAAAAAAGTCATTTTATCAATTATAAAAAATCTTTCCCGATTTGTAATTCCTTATCTAGAAGGAATCTCAAGATTCAAAATAAGGGGGAAATGATCAAAAAGCAATGAGGAATTTGTAGAAAAATTATGGATTTTTTTTCGAGAAAAATAATAATAAAATATTCGAAAAGTGGAAAATTACCAAAATACCCCTGAAAGAATGGATAATTAGAGAAATGCCACTCTAATTAGAATCAGAGCATCTACAGTGACCATCCGAGCAAAATCCTTCAAGCTCAAATCTCAACTGTTGGATCTCCTCCAAATTTTGATAAGATCTAGAACGAACACGCACGGATCATCACATCCAACGACTAGTATTCTAGGGCAAGGTCGGTAAGGCTATGATCGGAGTTGATATCTCTGAAAAATTATCCAGAGAGTTCGATCTCTAAATAACGAAGATTCTAGAGCTCTCAATGTCGGTTTAAGCTCCTCCTATAAAGTCTGAAGTAGGAGCAACAATACGAAATAAGAATCGAAAAAGGTTGATCCCCTAATCGAAGGCAATAAGCATTTAGATTATGGGTCTCCTACTCGCAGATTTCTTCCAAATTCGAGAGCAATCCTCCACCATTTATCTTTCAACTTCTAAATAACAAAGATTCTGGAGCTCTCAAAGTCGGTTTAAGCATCTCCTATAAAGTCTGAAGTAGGAGCAACAATACGAAATAAGAATCGAGAAAGGTCGATCCCCAATTGAAGGCAATGAACGTTTAGATTATAGGTCTCCTACTCTTAGATTTCTTCCAAATTCGAGAGCAATCTTCCACCATTTCTCTTCCATTTTATTACTACAGTTTCTCAACAAGATTACCAACAAGTTCTATGAAGGAATAGAGTGCTGAAAGTGCCCAGAAACCATTCCCCCAATTCAATCCGCCATTGAAGAACTTCCAGAAAAACTTGAAAATCCAATCCGAGGATACATGATGACTCGTCGAGCAAAAATGATTCCAATCAGTTTTTATACCTCCAAAGAATGCTCCCATAGAAGACCATGAAGAAAAATAACCTCGAGAGCGTGCCGAATTGAAGGAAATAGGTTTCAAAATTAAATTAGGGATAAGAGTCGAATTCCTATCTACGATCTCTTTTCCTTCAAATTAAGGATTCCTCTAGTTTCAGAGGAAGAAGTTTAGTAAACTTGATGAAGGAATTGAGAGCTGAAACGTCGTAGAACAAACTACCCACGAGATCGAAATCTGGCGTTTCGAGTAAGTAGCATACCGAGAACGATTTCTAGAAGTTAAGGTCCTACACTCAAAGACGTTCCTCAAAAACCAATTCCTTTAGCTTGAAGATAAGATATGGAAGAGGTTTAATGAAGAAATAGGGCCTTGAAATCCCTAGAATCGGCTACCCAATAAAAAATCCTTTCTTTTATCTCCAGCGATAAATCATATTTTGGATGAACTTTAGAAGCGAATATCTTAGGCTACGATCTACGAGAAGGTATCAAATCAATCCCTAGCCATTCCTTGTAACACCCATCT